ATTTTCTATATTACGTCCGCCTCTCCGATATCGACGATTTTGGTATCGTTGGATTCTCTCAATCTCCACATTGCAAATATATAGTTTTTATTGCGCGGAAACCCCGTTAGCGACAAACTTGGCCCCGATAGCAGGGGAGGGCATGAAAGTTTCCAGGGAAAATGCGGGGTTAAATAACACTAATAATATAACGCATAGTGAAAATAACCAGGTTATTCACATGACTTTCCATTGCAGGGGGCTGTGCCCCTGCGACCCCCCCTGGGTGGTCTTCCGCCCCCCAATCCTCGCCGAGGAACAAAACCTCCACCACGTACTCACGGCAGGCTAGAGCGTTACACAATCATCGTCGATGTCGGAGCGGCGGGCGTAATATTACAGTTACCACATTCCCACTGAATCAGCATATTAACCTTGACATAGTCAGCATTGTATATAGAGACGATTGTAGTATATAATCAGGATGAACAGGGTAGCCGCCCTCGTCGGCGGGTTTTGCGCCTCTTTCGATATTACACCGATGGCCTCAAGGTCGAGTTTCCCGTCTTCTGGAACAACGACATCCGTATTCCTAACCGAAATAACCGTCGCGTTCAGTACTTCGCCATAGCCGCCGCGATGGCCGTGTGTGGAGGGTGCTCGTACTCGGAGACGGATTTCCTGGCGAAATAGCGACCAGCCAGGAAGAAACGGCAGAGATGTGGGTAATTTTCTATATTAGCTCCGCCGCTCCGATATCGATGATTTTGGTATCATTGGATTCCTCTCACTGTCCACATTACAACCTGCCTCTTTCACCTTCTGCGGCAAAGGAGCACCCTCCCTACTATTAGCGGCATCTATCAATCAGGTTAGTACCTTAAAAATCCTTGGTTATTGTAGGTTATCGGCTCCGCATCTAGTTCGTGCGCGCTCTATCCCGCCATGAATACGTGGTGGAGTTTTGTTTCCTCGGCGGGGATCGGGGGGCGGCAGCCCCCTGCAATGAAAAGTCATGTGAATAACCATGATTATTTTCACTGGGGTTATATTTATTAGAGTAATTTTTATATTACGTCCGCCGCTCCGACATTGTTCCCTGCTATTAGGGCCAAGTTTGCCGCTAACGGGGGGTTTCCGCGCAATAAAACCTACATATTTGCATTGTATAGAGTGAGAGGAATCCAACGATACCAAAATCGTCGATATCGGAACGGCGGACGTAATATAGAAAATTACCATATATATATATATATATATATATATATATATATATAAAACACACACACACACACACACACACACACACACACACAACACACACACACACCACACACACACACACACAGGGCCGCCGTCAGGTGGCCTGGGCCCCGGGGTAAAGAACAGGGCCAATCCTTTTTAGGTGGGAAACGCCTTTTTCAAGTAGGAAACGCCCATTCTTCCTTAAAGATTTGTCAATATAAAACTATATGTTACTCGAACTTACAGTCAAGAACTTACAATCAAGAATATGTTACTAATATCTAACTTCATAAATATCGCTAGTTTGGCAGATTTTTAAAAAACTAGTTCCTTATTTTTATTTTATCGATAATAGCAAAATATTGTTAATGTTAACTGCTGTAACGTTGTTTTAGTATAATACACCCTATAAATTTGTTGAGGTAGTTGTATTTGGGCTCAAATAAGCGACTACTGGAAATGTTACGGTCCTGGCCCCGGGTCGTTGCCTGTCGGCGGTCCTGCATATACATATACATATATACGACGCCTGAAGGTGCTTTCACAACCGCGTGGCTTCTCCATAAAAGGCATGGCACCACGGCCTCCGGTGCCACTCGGCGCTTGGCTCTCCCTCGAGCCTCACCTGCAGAGACCGACGCTCCGAGCCCGGGTTCCCTCCTGCGTCCGCCATGCGCCTCGTGGTCTGCCTGGTCTTCTTGGCCTCCTTCGCCCTGGTCTGCCAAGGCGAAGCGTACAGGGGCGGTTACAGGCCCGATACCCAGGCCACCACCCATTGGAAGACCACCGCTCAGACCTGGTAAATTGTCTTAAATTTATTTGTTTGACTAAATGTTCATCACATTATCAATGATCACTCCGTGTTGTTTTTTAGTAAACGCCAATACTATCTATGCCTATATTCATTACGAATGCTGAAATTAATTTCCTTATCACTTCATTACAACTATTCCTTCTGTGACAGGAGAA